GTCCTAACATTCTGGGAAGGGCAGTGGTTTGAAGCGTTTCGCCTGAAGATAAATATTTTGAATCATATCGAAACAAATCCTTTTTCTTCTGAATTTGAAGAAGTATTTAAACAAGAAATTGATGCCTATAATGGACCTTTGATCCATATTGACATTCCTGAGAATGCAGAACCCAAATTTGTAAAGGCCAGAACCGTGCCATTTGCTCTGAGAGAACTAGTAAATGAAAAATTAAAATCACTGGAAGAGCAAGGGGTTATTGAACCGGTTAAATTTACCAAATGGGCATCACCAATTGTGACGGTCCTGAAGAATGACGGCACTATAAGAATATGCCACGATTATAAAATTACAGTAAATTTGTATAGTAATCCTGATAAATACCCACTGCCCACAATTCCGCAACTTTTGGATAGATTGAGAGGTGGCAGAGTGTTTACTAAGTTGGATATGGCTCAAGCATATCAGCAGTTGAAAGTGGATGAAACATCTGCAGAGATTCTCGCTATTAAAGCACCTAGAGGATTATATAAGGTGAAGCGTCTTCCTTTTGGCTTAAATTCAGCCGTGGGAACATTCCAGAGATTCATGGATACTCTTCTGAGTGGAATTGATGGAGTTGCAGTATATTTAGATGATGTCCTGATTTCAGGAAGAGATTGTGATGATCTTAAAAGAAAAACTGAAAAGGTACTGCTACGCTTCAGAGAATCTGGACTTCGTCTTAAAAGAGAAAAATGCCATTTTTATGTCCCAGAAATTGAATTTCTAGGCATGATTATTGATCATAAAGGAATACGTCCATCCGAGGAGAAATTAAGAGCTATAAAAGATGCTAAACAACCTTCAAATAAAAGGGAATTGATGTCTTTTCTTGGACTTCTTAATTATTATGAGAGGTTTTTGAATAATAAAGCCACAGTAGCTGAACCTCTCCATAGACTGTTGGACAGTAATAGTCCATGGAAATGGAATAAAGAACATCAAAGATCTTTTGCAGAGGTTAAAAACTTGATTAGCTCTAAGTCTGTTTTAGCACATTTTAATGAAGATCTGCCTATTTTGGTCAACTGTGATGCGTCGGAGTATGGTGTTGGAGCCATTTTGTCGCAAATAGACCATGGTATTGAAAGACCAGTTGTGTTTGCCTCCCGAACTTTAAATAAAACTGAGAGAAGATATGCAGTAATTGATAAAGAGGCATTGGCGGTTATTTTTAGTGTATCAAAATGTTCACAGTATCTTCTAGGGAGAAAATTTAAAATATTGACGGATCATAAGCCACTAGTGGGAATATTCAACCCCAAAAAGCCGATACCTCAAGTGCTATTGCCGCGCATGTTGAGATGGTGTTTGACTCTGGCTGCGTATACTTATACTATAGAGTATAAACCGGGAAAAGTAAATTGTAATGCCGATGCATTAAGTAGACTTTCTTTAAATGAATGTCCAAGTGTAGTTCCGAACCCTTCAGAGGTGTTTTTTATAGAATCGGAACATGCTGCAATTAATTCTTCGGAAGTGGCAAAACTAACTACTAGTAAAGATCCCATCCTCGTCGCCAATTATTATGTATGTAATTAAAAATATTATGACGCAAAGCTATCCATTTTTGCATACCAGTATTTTGATTAAAAACAAAGTATTTATACAGTAAATGATGATGATAAATAATCTCTATGAATACATAACAAAAATATATACATATATACACACATATACACGCATACACCTATATATTGTTTAAAACCACAAGATATGTCCAATATTTCCTTGAGATCGTTACATCGAACCATTTTTCTTAATGAAATCCAAAATATTTACATAGGAAATTAAATTTTATATATGTGTCCTTACTTGAATTTAAATCACTAGGGCCTAAAGCTATTAAACCGTTGTTGACTCTGTAATCTAGAAAGACAGGGCACTCTAGCAAGAGATGTATTGAAGTAAAATACCTAGTTAACAGTTTCTTCACAAAAACTTTATGAAAATTACTTGGTTATGTTAATATTATAATCCCTTTGTTAAAATTATAAATAAAACACACAATTCGCTAAGGGAATAGTTTATTTTTTTATAACGGCAATACAAGTTTTCTGGTTTAACAGTTCTTTGACAGGTATAACGAAGAAGGGAATCAAGGTGGATGACCTTACAAAGTTACAACTTGGCGCAAATGTATTAAACTTTTTATATTCAAATTATTGTTTTAAAGAGGTTTTTAAAAAGTTTCAATCATATAGTAGAATTATTACAGTAGAACCTCCATGAGAAGATACTCGCGCTAGAGGACACCTCTCTACAGTAGAACCTCTATGAGAGGACACTCACACTAGAGGACACCTCTCTACAGTAGAACCTTTATGAGAGGACAATCCCGCTAGAGGACATATCTCTACAGTAGAACCTCCACGAGAGGACAATCGCGCTAGAGGACACCTCTCTACAGTAGAACATACTCCATCAGAGGACACTCGCGCTAGAGGACACCTCTCTACAGTAGAACCTCAATGAGAGGACAATCGCGCTAGAGGACACCTCTCTACAGTAGAACCTTTATGAGAGGACAATCCCGCTAGAGGACACCTCTCTACAGTAGAACCTCCATGAGAGGACAATCCCGCTAGAGGACATATCTCTACAGTAGAACCTCCACGAGAGGACAATCGCGCTAGAGGACACCTCTCTACAGTAGAACCTCCATGAGAGGACACTCGCGCTAGAGGACACCTCTCTACAGTAGAACCTCCATGAGAGGACACTCACGCTAGAGGACACCTCTCTACAGTAGAACCTCAATGAGAGGACACTCGCACTAGAGGACATCTCTCTACAGTAGAACATACTCCATCAGAGGACACTCGCGCTAGAGGATACCTTTCTACAGTAGAACCTCCATGAGAGTACACTCGCGCTAGAGGACACCTCTCTACAGTAGAACCTCCATGAGAGTACACTCGCGCTAGAGGACACCTCTCTACAGTAGAACCTCCATGAGAGTACACTCGCGCTAGAGGACACCTCTCTACAGTAGAACCTCCATGAGAGAACACTCGCGCTAGAGGACATCTCTCTACAGTAGAACCTCCATGAGAGGACACTCGCGCTAGAGGACACCTCTCTACAGTAGAACCTCCATGAGAGAACACTCGCGCTAGAGGACACCTCTCTACAGTAGAACCTCCATGAGAGGACACTCGCGCTAGAGGACACCTCTCTACAGTAGAACCTCCATGAGAGAACACTCGCGCTAGAGGACACCTCTCTACAGTAGAACCTCCATGAGAGGACAATCGCGCAAGAGGACACCTCTCTACGCAGGACAGTTTTCATACGCTAATAAGGTTTTAGTATATCTATCTAATATTTCCTACTTCATTGTATGTGTATATATGGATTGGTTTGAATTCAGAAAACCTTAGTAACATAGTGATACCTGTCGAAGGGCTCTTGAAAACTTATATTGCCGTTATATATAAAAAATAAACTCCTCCCTCAGTGAATTGTCTTTTATTTATAAATACTCGGCTATATTTGGCATGAATATTGTTGCATCATGATTAATGCGCGTATTTTAAATATTATTTATAATATTATTTTTAATATATTTAAAACTATATATTTATTTATTTTTATTTAAAACAGATCATTTAAATTATCATCATTCCTTTTGTAATATTTTATTGTACATATATCTTGATTGGTTATTGGAGCGAGAGAGTACCTAGACCAAGACTGCGAATCACGACCTACGAGGAAGACAACGAATAAATAAACACAATAACTTTAAAAGGTAATTTATTTTTATTTACTTTTCTTCATTTGCTTTGAATATAGAAACCCGCTCGGTGTATAACACCAAGAAGAAATAAACAAAGGTCGACGACCCTGCAAAGCTGCAACTTGGTGCAACAATATATAACGAAGAAAAAACTCCTGGCTGAAAGCAATACTTATATGGCTATAGATGGAATATTTAAATTTTAACTGGATTGGTTTGAGTATCTTCTGAGACATCTTCCTGTAACTTATTTCAGTTGGTTTTGCCCTCTGCTGTCCTACTAACGATGCACGAAAAAGAGGAAAACAAAATGTCCAAAACTTGGCAAATGCATCAACCCGATTTTACTTCTACCAACACCCACAGTTAAATGATCTAAATACAGATGTCTACATGACAAATGAGTTGAGATCTGCCTGATTAGCTATATACAGTTAAACCTGTCTATAGCACCCCCTCTTGGGACTCACCAAAATAGGGTTCTATAGAGATGGGGTGCTATAGACAGGTCACTTTTAATGTAAAATGTTTACATTTTAATGTTTAAAATTGGGCGCTATAGAAAGGAAGGCGCTATTTAGAGGGGGCGCTATAGAAAGGTTTAACTGTATAGGAAAAGACTTAAGCCTCTACTCAAATGTCGCACATACATAGCTAATATATAAATAAAAAATCAATCTATTATAGAGATTTAGAAAAATGATTTTCAAGTGAAAATGAAATTTTCGATTGCTTTTATGAATATACGTACATGTCAAAATTTTCACTTTAAACATTTTTAATATGGAATACCACTCGAGAGATTATAATTGATTTAACTATTGTTGCATCCTTTATGATGTCTCCCTCCATTTATAAAGAAAAAACTTCTCTGATATTTTAAATTTATTAAAAATTAATATTTAAACATATTATGTACTATAGTATTATTCCTTTTGTAACATAGTTATTGTTTATATCTTGGTTATTTATTTTGGGAGAGAAGCCATGGACACGAAGACTGAAGATCACCTACTACGAGGAAGACAACAAATAAACATAAAAAATTAAGAGGTAATTTATTTATAAAACGACATTTGAAAATTATCCCGCAAGTATTTCTTTTGAACGAAAAATCGAAATTCATTTTAAGGAGAAATAACGATTATTTCTAACCTTAGGGATGAAGTATGAAAGGATGAATTGTGAAGAGTAATGATGAACGTAAAAATAAAGTATCCAGGGATGGGAATCGAACCCACAGTTTTCCGCTTACTGGGCAGATGCCATGTCCACTAGACTACCCTGGACATATCCTTCCGTTCGTAAATATTATATACAGTAATTTATAATACAATATAATTCGGCTTATGATTGTTAAAACGACATTTGAAAATTATCCTGCATGTGTTTATTTTGAACGAAAAATCGAAATTTATTTTAAGGAGAAATAACGATTATTTTCAACCTTAGGGATGAAACTTTACTTTGATTATGGAAACCCGCTCGGGTAACATGTACGACACAAAGAAGAAGGGAATCAAGGTGGATGACCCTACAAAGTTACAACTTGGCGTAAAACTATTAGACTTTTTATATTTAAATTATTGTTTTTAAAGTTTTAATTATATATTAGAATATTAATACAGTAGAACCTCCATGAGAGGACACTCGCGCTAGAGAACACCTCTCTACAGTAGAACCTCCATGAGAGGACACTCGCGCCTCTCTACAAAGGGCAGTTTTAATTTGCAAAATTACCATTTTTACTATTTAGCAAATCTCCGGTTAGAACACACCTCTCCCTAAAGGACTCTTTGGATCTACAATCAGGTGTCCTTTACAGAGAGGTTCTACTGTATATATTTTTTACAATCACTAAAATTATAAACCCATCATTATATAATTTTCCAAAAAAGATTTCATTTTCATCACTTATTCACCATTAAAAAAAATAATAATTTATTTATTTCAAAATGATCATTTAATATCTCCATAAAATTTAAACTGATAAAAATATGTTTTTTTAAATAATATAGGTAGATAAATAAATAAAAACAATTATTCTAAAAAGTGTTTTAAAAATATATATAAATTTATTTAATTCATAGAGTAAAATTGTGTGATAATAAATCAATAAAAATCAAGTGAGCGATGCAAGCAGACGACTCTCGGTGGATAATGATATTAAAAGAACAATATGTTAAACTTCTTTTCTACACTCGCGTCTTCTCTCATAGTGAAAGATCATTTGCCTTTTCCTTTCCCTATTAGAGAGATGACTTCAAGTGATTAATTTAAAAGGAGAGTTCTAAAATATATTTTAAACAATTTTACGCTGGCGTTTAATCTAAAATAATTACCTTTCTAGGCCAATTTTCCATCAATCTTCTCAGACGATGTTTTATGCTCTTCCCTCTAAATTGGTAGCCAATCATTTCATTGGTGTTTTTCATCATGAGTTTTGTAAAAGACCAATTGAGGCTTTTTTTTACCCCCATTTTCTTTTAGTTATATTTATCTTAATTTTTGTTTGATTTTGTTGAGTCTATTAACTTAAATGTGTTGTAATGATTATAGAAAAATAATATACATAATAGATATGTTATTATTAATATCTCTCTTTGTATGCGTGTGAAGGCCTATACGTATCCGATAATTTGAATTGGTGAACATTTTGAGATTTTCTTTTTTTACTATTTCATAAAAGAGGGCTGCTAAATAGTAAAAAAAAAAAAGTTAATTTAGGCAATATATATATATATATGAAAACTGTCTTTCGTAGAGAGGTGTTCTCTAGCGAAAGTGTTCTCTTATAGAGGTTCTTCTGTATCTCTTAAAGAATAAAGAGAAAGGTAGAAAATAAAAGAAAACAAATTGAAATGTAAAAGATGAGTCTTTCTTAGCTCAATAGACTAATTTGAAAATTCGAAACTATTATAGACGAGTATGATTATTTTAAAAAATAAACAATTTCTACTGTCCTTACTGCAATGGAAAAATTAATGGGAGGGCCTGGTTCATTCAGTGGTGAACCCTCCCAGAGATTTCGCCAGTTTAATCTACCATACCGCTGTTATATTGCATTTTTCGTTTCTCCTTTTATACTGATATTGATGTTAGACTCTTGGAATGGGTATTTTAGTTGAACTATGGATATAAGCTTTGAGGATAGTAGAGATACATACAATTATAAATATATAATATGCTTAATTTTTCCATTGCAGTAAGGACAGTAGAAATTGTTAAATATTTAAATGAACCATACGTGTCTATAATAGTTTCGAAATTTCATAACAGATGGCACGCTAATGCATCATGATAGACAAATATGGTGTTTTTAAGTAGATTCAGCTGGTTCTAGTAATTCACTTCTTGAAATTCTAGGTAGAGTTGGTGCGCTAGTCTTCCCAAGAATGTAGCGAACTCACCCAGGATTTAAACTACCATCTTTCAGGCTACTAATCTTACACACACTACTTTAGTAGTAGTATCATAAAGGTAACCCAGGCTCCTGGAGTGTATTTATAAATCGCCAACTACCTAGGTTGTCCTGTAGTTTAGGAGTCACTCTTGGTAACCTTAGTGAACCAGTTCACCAAGTGTTTCCATGCCGGTTTGTTTCTTGGTAGATTTAATAGGGCAGTGACATTGAATGAGGACAGTCCAATAAGTGTAGCCGTTTGGAATCTCTGGAGTTCAAATGATGGGCAGATGAACATACTTTATTTTACAATCACAATTTATATACATTCAATCTATACACGTGACCAGATAGTGTTAGTCAAATATATATACAAAAATATACAGATTAATTAAATAATAAAAGCTCAAATAGTGTAGAAAAATTAAATAAATTATTATGTATTGTTACATGAGAGATGTTGCAACTTTGTAAGGTCATTCACCTTGATTCCATCCTTCTTTGTGTCGTACACGTTTCCCGAACGGGTTTCCATAATCAAGGTAAATAATAAATAAATAGGCTGACAAGTAAAATCACGTGAGAACGCCCTTGCAAACCTCAGAACAATTTTTAACGCCTTGCCGAATGTTTATTTTTATTTAATTCTCCTGACGAAGACAAAAGATTTTTGTCGAAACGTTGAGAAAATAAAAAACTCCAACTGGCCGAAGTGTCTATTTTTTATATAAATATGAATGCCGGCCAGGCAGCCTCTATCTTTACGAAATAAATAGTTGGTGATCTTTAGTTTTCATGTCCGTGGCTCCTCCTCAAAAATAAATAATCAAGATATAAACATTAACAATTTTATAGATGAAGTGATACTATAAAAGGAATGATACTGTGATACATAATATGTTTAAAATAAAATCAAGATATCATGGCGAGTGGGAGAAGCAGCACAAGTAAGTGACTGCCCTGTAGGGCGAAGTACGGTGTTGTGAGCCCCGAGCCGCGACAGTAACCATGAACAGGGAACTCTGAAATGTGGCTGACTAACGGAGCAATGGCACCTCCCTTTCTATGGAGCAACAAAAACACCACCACCGTGATATCATATATTATTTCGAATAAATGGAGGAGGGCATCAAACATTATACAGTAGTAAGAAATGGAAACATTTAAGCATCAATGTTTCTTTTAAATATAAAACATACTTCTATACTGTCCTTACTGCGATTAAATATTATATTGGGAGGGCTAGGCTCAACAACGGTTTAATAGCTTTAGGCCCTAGTGATTTAATTTCAAGTAAGGACACATCTATAAAATTTAATTTCCTTTGTAAATATATTTTGGATTTCATTAAGAAAAATGGTCTTTGATGTAACGATCTCAAGGAAATATTGGACATATCTTGTGGTTGTAAACAATATATAGGTGTATGCGTGTATATGTGTGTATATATGTATATATTTTTAAATTTAATGATGTAACTGTAAATAAAATTCAAAGAATATCTCTATATGTAAATAATATTTTTGAATCTTTCTAAGTTGCTTTCTGTCTATCTTTCCATATTTAATATTTTCTTTGTTATATTTGTATGTACATTTAGCGCAAGTGTCCCTGGGGGGACATAGCGTTTTGAATTGAAATAAATAAATGTTTTACCCACATCCAGCGGTTTCGTCAATTTAATCTACCAGACCGCTTCTTAGATCTCTAATACAGTATTGGACGATTCTGCTTATATATATTCTGAAATGAAGAGTGGAATCTTAGAAATGGTATTGAAGAAAACTATGAACATAAGCTTTTAGGGCAGTACAATTACATATAAGACGGCACATTATTGCCTTATAATTAATGATACAATAGTATATATGTTATAAATAAGAAGATTTTCTGCTTGATTTTTGATTATTTTGAGGATTATGCTATGTCAATGCAGTCGTGGTTAAAATCTTGAAACTATAATAATAAAAATAATGAAGATTATAAATAGCTTTAATTGCGCTTATAGGATATATAAAAAACATAATTTGATAAAAAGTACTGTCTGGCTTAAGGCGAGTAGAACAAAGAAAAACAAAAGATTATTTACATAATTACAAAGGTTTTAGCCGGCCATCGGGAAACAACAATAACGGGTTATATAAACAGAAAGCGCGACCTCTTTCGGTCGACTTAACAGAATATTTGAATCTATGAAGTAAAATAAAATTTTAAATAATACCTTTATATAATATATATACAACTAAATTAGTAAATCATCAATGTCAAACTTCCCTCAGCAATATATTCACCCATTAAAATCAACAGCCAAACAAGCATAGCCAATCTAACAAAAAAGTTGACAGCGTTAAAAGGAAGAAGCTAAATTTACCGAACAAGGTTACCATCCTAAAACCCATATAAACTTTTAATGGCATTTTATCCGTTGATAAACCTTTTGTTGAGGCAGGGAGGGTTGGAATTTTATTGTTCCGCTTCCATTAGAAGTCAGGGCTGATTTGAATGCTTTCTTATCATCTTTACTGCGACGGTGGTTGAGGTCCCTCGGCGGCCGAAGAGACCTACGGAGCGTTGACCCGCCCGATAAGCTGACACAGCACCGACTGGTCTATTAGGGTTAGCACTCCCCGGGGTATCGCTTCGTACCCGGCCGGCTAAATTCCTCCGCTAAATTTTCCACATTTGGAAATCATATTTGATTCGATTTTTATACCTAGTTGAAAATACTTTTTTATTATGTTGGTTCGATTCTTTTACCATTATATTTTTTGCAGTAAAATTTCCTGATAACTTTTTTTTTAAAGTTTTTTTTAAACGTTATTTGATAATCTTTTATATTATAACAAAGTATTTATTAATTTTATTATTTTTATTAACAGAGTGGTC